ATTGCTGACTGGTACCCTACATTCTGTAAACTAGCAGGAGTTGATCCTGATGATTCTGGAACAGGAAAGTTTCCAGTTGATGGTTTAGATGTATGGCCTATCATAACAGGAGAGAATGAAAAAACACAGCATGAAGAGATAGTGTTGGGATATAATTTTGACAACGTCTATCCTTCACAAGGAGCTATTATAGTGAACAACTATAAATTAGTAGTTGGATTGCAGGGTCATGGCTGTGACAGCTTGATGTGGTCAGCTCTTGATTATCCTTGTAGCTATGGTCCTGAAGGTCCTGATTGTGATCCTTATTGTTTGTATGACATAGTAAATGACCCTACTGAGAAGAAAGATTTATCAAAAGAAAATCCAGATATGTTAAAGAAATTAGTTGAAAGATACAATTCCTATTCTAAGGAACCAAGAGACATGCAAGATCAAGGCTATCACAGTGAAGATGATATTCCTAAAGATCCCAATGCATGCAAGTATATGGCAGACAATGGAGGCTACTGGAGACCTTGGAAGAACATTTAGATAGTAACTAATGAGCTACGCTGCTTAGCTGATATATTTTTAAAATTTTTATGCTGTGAATATGCTCTAATGTTTCAGTTGTTTCTAAATATGGTCATAATAAATCACATGATGTTCTGCTGCTATTATTTAGCAACATGTCCTTACTCCAGTGTTTATTAGTCTGTGTCTTGTGTAGCTGCTTTGTTGCAACTGCTGAACTGCCTAATATTATATTTGTGTTGGTTGATGACTGGGGCTTTGCTGATGTTGGTTTCAAAAATCCAGCTATCTCTTCACCTAACTTTGATCACTTGGCTAAAACTGGTCTAGTTCTTAATCGTCATTATGTATACATGTATTGCTCTCCATCTCGTGCTTCTCTTCTAACTGGACGATGGCCTCATCATACCCATCAGTGGAATTTAGGAAATAATTCAACAGCCGGTACCAATCTTGCTATGACAATGATACCAGCTAAGCTAAAAGCTGCAAACTATGCCACTCATATGGTAGGGAAGTGGCATCAAGGATTCTTTGATCCTAGATACCTTCCAATCAATAGAGGCTTTGACACTTCAAGTGGGTTTTTGTGTGGTTCTGAAGATCATATGACACAAAATGCAATATGTGCTATTGACTATTGGAAGAATAATGCTCCTGATCCTCGTAATGGAACATATGATGCTTATATTTACCGTGATGACCTGACTGATATTATCAACAGTCACAATACCAATGAACCACTTTTTCTGTACCTTCCATTGCATAATGTTCACCTTCCTTTGCAAGCTCCCAAAGAATGGTTAGACATTTATCCTGCTAATTCAACTTGTGAAAAGCGACATACTTTACAAGCAATGATAAGTGTAGCTGATAATGTTACTGGACATTTAGTTGAACTGTTAAAGAAGAAAGGAATTTGGGACAATACTATAATGGTCATCTCAGCTGATAATGGTGGTGCCCATTGCTCTGGTAGTAATTATCCTTTGAGAGGTTGTAAAGAAACACTTTTTGAAGGAGGTGTCCGTTCCCTTGCTTTTGTTAATGGTGGTCTCCTACCAGAATCAAGAAGAGGTCAGTCTACTGATGGATTCATTCACATTGCTGACTGGTACACTACATTCTGTAAACTAGCAGGAGTTGATCCTGATGATTCTGGAACAGGAAAGTTTCCAGTTGATGGTTTAGATGTATGGCCTATCATAACAGGAGAGAACGAAAAGACACAGCATGAAGAGATAGTATTAGGATATAACTTTGATTTCAATCATCCTGGACAAGGAGCCATTATAGTTGGCAATTTTAAGCTTCTTGTTGGTTTACAAAACGCTTTTGAATGTGACAGTTTAGGTTGGAGACCACTTGATTATCCTTGTAGCAATGGTCTTGAAGGTCCTGATTGTGATCCATATTGTTTGTATGATATTATTAATGATCCTACTGAAAAGAATGACCTATCGAAAAAAAATCCAGAAATCTTAAACAAGCTTCTTGATAGGTATCACTCATACTCCATGGAACCGAGAGATATGCAAGATCAAGGATATCACTCACAGTTTTCTGTACCAAGAGATCCTGATGCATGTAAATACATGCAGTCAAATGGTGGCTACTGGAGGCCATGGAAGAATTTGTAACAAAATTGTAGTCATTTGCTTTTAGGAGGGCTATTTTAATGAATAACTGATTTTATTCATTTCTTCTTCCTTTTATGTAATCTTGGTGTCATGTGATGCTATTGTTTAGTAATAATGGCTAGACTACTTTTGTCATTATTAGTCTGTGTCTTGTGTAGTTGCTTTGTTGCAACTGCTAAACTGCCTAATATTGTATTTGTGTTGGTTGATGACTGGGGCTTTGCTGATGTTGGTTTCAGGAATCCAGCTATCTCTTCACCTAACTTTGATCAATTGGCTAAAACTGGTCTAGTTCTTAATCGTCATTATGTTTTTAAATACTGTGCTCCTTCACGTGCCTCACTTCTCACAGGACGCTGGCCACACCATGTATATCAATGGAATTTAGCCACTGATGCCACTGCTGGTACTAATCTCAACATGACAATGTTTCCAGCTAAACTAAAAGCTGCAAACTATTCCACTCATATGGTAGGGAAGTGGCATCAAGGATTCTTTGATCCTAGATACCTTCCAATCAATAGAGGCTTTGATACATCAAGTGGGTTTTTGTGTGGTTCTGAAGATCATATGACACAAAATGCAATATGTGCTATTGACTATTGGAAGAATAATGCTCCTGATCCTCGTAATGGAACATATGATGCTTATATTTACCGTGATGACCTGACTGATATTATCAACAGTCACAATACTGATGAACCACTTTTTCTGTATCTTCCATTGCATAATGTTCACCTTCCTTTGCAAGCTCCCAAAGAATGGTTAGATATTTATCCAGCTAATTCAACTTGTGATAAACGTCACACACTACAAGCTATGGTCAGTGTAGCTGATAATGTTACTGGACATTTAGTGGAGCTGTTAAAAAAGAAAGGATTATGGGACAATACTATAATGGTCATCTCAGCTGATAATGGTGGTGCCCATTGTTCTGGTAGTAATTATCCTTTGAGAGGTTGTAAAGAAACTCTTTTTGAAGGAGGTGTCCGTTCCCTTGCTTTTGTTAATGGTGGTCTCCTACCAGAATCAAGAAGAGGTCAGTCTACTGATGGATTCATTCACATTGCTGACTGGTACACTACATTCTGTAAACTAGCAGGAGTTGATCCTGATGATTCTGGAACAGGAAAGTTTTCAGTTGATGGTTTAGATGTATGGCCTATCATAACAGGAGAGAATGAAAAGACACAGCATGAAGAGATAGTATTAGGATATAATTTTGATTTCAATCATCCTGGACAAGGAGCCATTATAGTTGGCAATTTTAAGCTTCTTGTTGGTTTACAAAACGCTTTTGAATGTGACAGTTTAGGTTGGAGACCACTTAATTATCCTTGTAGCAATGGTCTTGAAGGTCCTGATTGTGATCCTTATTGTTTGTATGATATTATTAATGATCCCACTGAAAAGAATGACCTATCGAAGAAAAATCCAGAAATCTTAAGCAAGCTTCTTGATAGGTATCACTCATACTCCATGGAACCAAGAGATATGCAAGATCAAGGATATCACTCACAGTTTTCTGTACCAAGAGATCCTGATGCATGTAAATACATGCAGTCAAATGGTGGCTACTGGAGGCCATGGAAGAATTTGTAACAAAATCATAATCATTTGCTTTTAGGAGGGCTATTTTAATGAATAACTGATTTTATTCATTTCTTCTTCCTTTTATGTAATCTTGGTGTCATGTGATGCTATTGTTTAGTAATAATGGCTAGACTACTTTTGTCATTATTAGTCTGTGTCTTGTGTAGTTGCTTTGTTGCAACTGCTAAACTGCCTAATATTGTATTTGTGTTGGTTGATGACTGGGGCTTTGCTGATGTTGGTTTCAGGAATCCAGCTATCTCTTCACCTAACTTTGATCAATTGGCTAAAACTGGTCTAGTTCTTAATCGTCATTATGTTTTTAAGTACTGTGCTCCTTCACGTGCCTCACTTCTCACAGGACGCTGGCCACACCATGTATATCAATGGAATTTAGCCACTGATGCCACTGCTGGTACTAATCTCAACATGACAATGTTTCCAGCTAAACTAAAAGCTGCAAACTATTCCACTCATATGGTAGGGAAGTGGCATCAAGGATTCTTTGATCCTAGATACCTTCCAATCAATAGAGGCTTTGATACATCAAGTGGATATTTGTGTGGATGGGTAGATCATTTCAATCAGAAGCAAGGCTGTGCAGTTGATTGTTGGAAGAATAATGCTCCTGATCCTCGTAATGGAACATATGATTCCTATTATTATCGTGATGACCTGACTAATATTGTAAACAATCATGATGCCAACAATCCGCTTTTCATTTATCTTCCATTACATAATGTCCACACACCTTTAGAAGCTCCAAAGGAATGGTTAGACATTTATCCTGCTAATTCAACTTGCAAAACACGTCACACTCTTCAAGCTATGGTCAGTGTAGCTGATAATGTTACTGGACATTTAGTTGAACTGTTAAAAGAGAAAGAAATGTGGGACAATACTATAATGGTCATCTCAGCTGATAATGGTGGCGATCAATGTGTTGCCAGTAACTATCCTTTAAGAGGTTGTAAATATACATTTTTTGAAGGAGGCGTCCGTTCCCTTGCTTTTGTTAATGGTGGTCTCCTACCAGAATCAAGGAGAGGTCAGTCTACTGATGGATTCATTCACATTTCTGACTGGTACACTACATTCTGTAAACTAGCAGGAGTTGATCCTGATGATTCTGGAACAGGAAAGTTTCCAGTTGATGGTTTAGATGTATGGCCTATCATAACAGGAGAGAATGAAAAGACGCAGCATCAAGAGATAGTGCTGGGATATAACTTTTCTTCACACGGAGCTATTATAGTTGATAATTATAAGCTCATTGTTGGGTCACAAAATGCGAGGTGTGATCCTTTAATGTGGACACCGTTAGATTTTCCTTGTAGCAATGGCAGAGTAGGCCCAAACTGTGATCCATATTGTCTGTATGATATTATTAACGATCCATCTGAGGAAAATGATTTATCTAATAAAAATCAAGAAATGTTAAAGAAGCTTCTTGACAGGTATAATTCCTACTCTAAAGAGCCACGAGATATGCAGGATCAAGGATATCACAGTATGGGTGCTATTCCTCATGATCCTAAAGCTTGTGATTACATGAAAGCAAATGGTGGCTACTGGAGACCATGGAAGAATGTATAGTGCCCTAATATTGTTTACGTATATTGCATATAAAATGTTTCTAGCTGAGAATTGTGACTGTTTTGCTATCCAAATAAAATCATCTATGAATATATAAATGTCATTCATGGCTTTTTTATTTGGTCATTTGTATCATGTGACACTATAGCAAGATGTCCATACTCCAGTGTTTATTGGTCTGTGTCTTGTGTAGTTGCTTTGTTGCAACTGCTAAACTGCCTAATATTGTATTTGTGTTGATTGATGATTTGGGCTTTGCTGATGTTGGTTTTAGAAATCCTGCTATCTCTTCGCCTAACTTTGATCAATTGGCTAAAACTGGTCTAGTTCTTAATCGTCATTATGTTTTTAAGTATTGCTCTCCATCTCGTGCTTCTCTTTTAACTGGACGATGGCCTCATCATGCTCATCAGTGGAATCCACTAATGGACAGCACAATTGGTACTAATATTAATATGACAATGCTTCCAGCTAAACTAAAAGCTGCAAACTATTCCACTCATATGGTAGGGAAGTGGCACCTTGGATTCTTTGATCCTAGATACCTTCCAATCAATAGAGGCTTTGATACTTCAACTGGGTTTTTTGGTTGTTGTGAAGACCATATGAATGAAAAAAGTGGTTGCTCAATTGATTATTGGAAGAATAATGCTCCTGATCCTCGTAATGGAACATATGATGCTTATAATTATCGTGATGACCTGACTGATGTTATGAGCAACTATAATACAGAAAATCCACTTTTCCTGTATCTGCCTTTGCATAATGTCCATGCACCATTTCAAGCTCCAAAGGAATGGTTAGACATTTATCCTGCTAATTCAACTTGTGAAAAGCGACATACTTTACAAGCAATGATAAGTGTAGCTGATAATGTTACTGGACATTTAGTTGAACTGTTAAAGAAGAAAGGAATTTGGGACAATACTATAATGGTCATCTCAGCTGATAATGGTGGTGCTCCTTGTGCTGGTAGTAATTATCCTTTAAAAGGTTGTAAGACAACCTTTTTTGAAGGAGGTGTTCGTTCTGTAGCTTTTGTTAATGGTGGTCTCCTACCAGAATCAAGAAGAGGTCAGTCTACTGATGGATTCATTCACATTGCTGACTGGTACCCTACATTCTGTAAACTAGCAGGAGTTGATCCTGATGATTCTGGAACAGGAAAGTTTCCAGTTGATGGTTTGGATGTCTGGCCTATCATAACAGGAGAGAATGAAAAGACACAGCATGAAGAGATAGTATTAGGATATAACTTTGATTTTAGGCGTCCTGGACAAGGAGCTATAATTGTTGGTAACTATAAGCTAGTAGTAGGTTTGCAGGAAATCGGTTGTGATAGCTTGATGTGGTCACCACTTGACTATCCTTGTAGTAATGGAACTTTAGGCCCTGACTGTGATCCATATTGCTTATATGATATTGTAAATGACCCCACTGAGATGAATGACCTTTCAAAAAAGAATCCAGATATGTTAAAAAAACTAGTTGAAAGATACAATTCTTATTCTAAGGAACCAAGACACATGCAAGATCAAGGCTATCATAGTGAAGATGATCTTCCTCAAGATCCCAATGCATGCAAGTATATGGCAGACAATGGAGGCTACTGGAGACCTTGGAAGAACATTTAGAAAATAACAAGATCAGAAGCTATATGCTAAGCAGAAACATACAAAATGCTAATCACTAAAAATACTTTATTAATTGTATGAATATAATACCAGTTCTAAATTTGGTAACAGTAAATCACATGATCTGCTGCTACTGTTTAGCAAAATGTCCTTACTCCAGTGTTTATTAGTCTGTGTCTTGTGTAGTTGCTTTGCTGCAACTGCTAAAGTGCCTAATATTGTATTTGTGTTGGTTGATGACTGGGGCTTTGCTGATGTTGGTTTTAGGAATCCAGCTATCTCTTCACCTAACTTTGATCAATTGGCTAAAACTGGTCTAGTTCTTAATCGTCATTATGTTTTTAAGTATTGCTCTCCATCTCGTGCCTCCTTCCTAACTGGACGATGGCCTCATCATGCTCATCAGTGGAATCCTCTAATGGACAACATGATTGGTACTAATCTCAACATGACAATGCTTCCAGCAAAGCTAAAAGCTGCAAATTATGCTACTCATATGGTAGGGAAGTGGCATCTTGGATTTTTTGATCCTAGATACCTTCCAATCAATAGAGGCTTTGATACTTCAACTGGGTTTTTGGGAGGTGGTGAGGATCATATGAATGAAAAAAGTGGTTGTTCAATTGATTATTGGAAGAATAATGCTCCTGATCCTCGTAATGGAACATATGATGCTTATAACTATCGTGATGACCTGACTGATGTCATGAACAATCATAATGCAGATAATCCACTTTTCTTTTATCTTCCATTGCATAATGTGCACACGCCTTTGCAAGCTCCCAAAGAATGGTTAGACATTTATCCTGCTAATTCAACTTGTGAAAAGCGACATATTTTACAAGCTATGGTCAGTGTAGCTGATAATGTTACTGGACATTTAGTGGAGTTGTTAAAAAAGAAAGGAATGTGGGACAATACTATAATGGTCATCTCAGCTGATAATGGTGGTGCTCCTTGTTCTGGTAGTAATTATCCTTTAAAAGGTTGTAAATCAACATTTTTTGAAGGAGGCATTCGTTCCCTTGCTTTTGTTAATGGTGGTCTCCTACCAGAATCAAGAAGAGGTCAGTCTACTGATGGATTCATTCACATTGCTGACTGGTACACTACATTCTGTAAACTAGCAGGAGTTGATCCTGATGATTCTGGAACAGGAAAGTTTCCAGTTGATGGTTTAGATGTATGGCCTATCATAACAGGAGAGAATGAAAAGACACAGCATGAAGAGATTGTCTTAGCTTATAATTTCAATCACAGTCACCCTGAACAAGGAGCTCTCATTATGGGCAATTACAAACTAATTGTAGGTCCTCAAGGGTATGGCTGTGACAGTTTAATGTGGTCACCATTAGACTATCCTTGTAATGATGGTTCAAAAGGTCCTGATTGTGATCCATATTGTCTGTATGACATTATTAATGATCCCACTGAGAAGAAGGAACTATCAAAAGAGAATCCAGAAATGCTAAAAAAACTTCTTGACAGGTATAATTCATTCTCTAAAGAACCAAGGGATATGCAGGATCAAGGATACCACTCGGCTGAGTCTTTACCAACTGATCGCAATGCTTGTGATTACATGAAAGCTAATGGTGGCTACTGGAGACCTTGGAAAAACTTGTAGCATACTGCTGTTTATATTGAGCTGTTTTTTATTGCTAAATTAAAGTGCTAATACTTTTTGTAATTAGAATTGTTTATCCCGTAGCAAATGTTGTGCTTACATTTTATTGATAGTTTAATGCCAGTCATTAGTCTGCCTAAATGAGGTTTTGAATTTAAATTAGTAGATAGACTATATAGGTCTACCTTTGTAGTAGTCTAGTTGAATGTGATATCATGTGAAATATATCATTTTTAGTAGCAAAAAATTTCTGAGACTCAAAATGCCATGGTAAGTATTAATTTTATTGTGTGTTAATTGTTTGGTTGACAATGTGCGTAGTTCCAATTTTTAATTTTCATATTGATCAGTTTCACCAAGCATAACGAGTTGCTAAATAGCATCTACATGAGCTGGCAAACAATGAAGTCTTAAGTACTAAAGCAGCATAAAAATTAGAATTAGTTATCGGTCTATAATATATTGAAAAATTATACAATTCTCTTTGAGATTGAGCCATCACTTTCAATGCAGCAGCATTACTAAGTAGGATTCATCATACTTCAAAATCACACCACAACTTTCCATTCACACCTTTGACCAACTTTTGGAGCCAAGTTAAAATTTCCTTTAATACTTTTTATCATTTCAAAAATGAATAAAAGTTGCAATGTTTTTGACACATTGGATCTTCCAGATAGAGTGTTAGTAGCATAGTAACTGGTAAGCACCAATCAATAGATACTAATGCTAAGCAGAATAGTCATGATAATCATGCTAAGCAGAAACATACAAAATACTAATCACTGAAAATATTTTATTAGCTGTATAAATATGTTTATACCAGTTCTAAATTGGGTAAAAATAAATCACATGATGTCTTACTGCTATTGTTTAGCAACATGTCCTTACTCCAGTGTTTATTAGTCTGTGTCTTGTGTAGTTGCTTTGTTGCAACTGCTAAACTGCCTAATATTGTATTTGTGTTGGTTGATGACTGGGGCTTTGCTAATGTTGGTTTCAGGAATCCAGCTATCTCTTCATCTAACTTTGATCAATTGGCTAAAACTGGTCTAGTTCTTAATTGTCATTATGTTTTTAAGTATTGCTCTCCATCTCGTGCCTCCTTCCTAACTGGACACTGGCCTCATCATGCTTATCAGTGGAACTTACCAACCAAGGACTTGGCTGGTACTAATCTCAACATGACAATGATACCAGCTAAACTAAAAGCTGCAAACTATGGCATCAAGGGTTTTTTGATCCTACTGAGATACCTTCTAATCAATAGAGGCTTTGATTGGGGCAAGCCTGAGAGTGGCATTCTAGTTAATAATAGATCTAATTATTATTAGGAACTTATTATTAATCTAATTATAGTAATTAAAAATTAAATTCATCAGCAGGCTAGCAGCAGGAACTTGCCAGGAAGAAAGAGAGAAAACACAGTAAGCTATAAACTACAGACAAAATGATCATAATAATGATTAATCATGTCAGTATTATTATTATTATTATTATTATTATTATTATTATTATTATTATTATATATTAGTTAGTAGTGTCCATTTTCATTGACATAGACAGAGGATAGAGGAGATGGTTTCCTAAAAAAAACTTCATCATTTGGACTGACAACAACTTGAACAACTTCATTCTCATCAACTGGAGACAAAACCTGAACATTGGAATTATTCTTATTAGCAGCTCCAGGCAAGGCATCACTTTCTTTATGTATCTATATAAAAGAAAGCAATATTTATTATAACTAAACAAACATGTACATGCAATCATGCATGCTAAATTATGATCCTTTTAAAATAGTCATATATAATACCTTTTTCAAACGGTCAATCTCTTTCATGTGATACTCAATGGTGTCCTTGTTATAATCCAGTCTAGGCATATTAGTACCTCCCATCACACTCTGAGGTGAGTTCTTGGTGAATATAAGAGAGCCAGTAGGATCCTTAACCAGCCTATAGGCCTAATATAGTTCATCATTATCACATTATTCATTGACTTATGATTACCTGAGGTACAAATAGTGTAGACAGTATGATGGTGACTCCCAACATTGTAAGGGACCCAACAAGTCCGTAATGTATGTCCACATAGTTAGTGAGTATAATACCAATAGGGGTGAGGGAGATGGAGAGGACCACTGTTGTATATACACACATAGCAATTAGTGGAGAATCATTGAGCTCTTTTATTTTAATGTTACGTGTTTCAAAAGCAAGGAACAGCCCAATAATGAGAAGAATACCTTTATATACCAGGAGGGTACTCAGTACAGGGATTTGATGATTGGATGAGCATATGCTCAGTTGGATTGGAAGACTGTGATCCTAATGGTGTATCATGATGATGTTATAATATTGAACTTACAGTTGAAGGAACAGTAACAGAGCTTAGTTCAAGTCTAGTGCCAGGTATAGCAGTGAAGCATATCATAAAGACACAATCAATAATCAACAGTACACCAATCATCAGGATTAAGAACCCATCTTTAATGACCTGGCACGGAGTGGAGAGTAGAGTAGTAATGTACTTAATGTGTTTACTAGTACCACTCCTATACACACACCATTACTCACTACATGATGTATATGTATTCACACATCATTATGTACATGTACATGTATATGTATTCTCTTACCCATTTGCTTGGTTTCCTTTGGTGAAATGATGAATGAAAGATGTAATACACACGCCATGTTTTAGCAAAGAGTGTCCCAAAAAGAAGAGTAAAAGCAAAGACAACAATCCACACTCTGGCCTGAGGAGAGAGAGAGAGATGGGAGGGAGAGTACATTATGGATGGTCAAAGGGTGTGTATATACCATACCATGCAGAGTCCATTGAGAACACTGGTTGGTATGATAGCTTCATCCATTCCAAATAATATAATATCCAAATAGAACAACATAGCTCCAATAATGATGACTATGTTGAGATAAGGGCTGGATAACTTTATGACCCTGAGGATGAAAGACAATATGAGAACATCAAATAATAACAGATCAGGAACAAACGTTAAATGAGATATAAACACAAAGATAGTTTAGTTTCAGTTTCCATATATTAATCAGAAACAATAATAATTACTTTTTATTTCTGTATATGATATTAATCATTAGCCAGATTGAGGCATAGACAAGTCCAGCTGTTCCAAGTATGACATAAATTGAGAACAACCAAGTATCAACATAGTCCAATGTTTTATCAACTGGTACCATCCCATCAAGGAACAATGTATCGTCATTCTCTCCAGGTTGTAACCTTATAGTACCTGATCCAGTGCTGTTAGCAATATTACCAATGTATACTGATACTAGAGATATACCCTCTATTAATAATAATAAATTAATTGATTATTAATTAATTAATTAAATTAATTATTAATTACTTGGTCTGTATTGAAAGTATCTTATGTGTCCGTGTCTATCACCATTTGGTTTATAAGAAACATGTCCCTATTTTATTATCAGTATATTATCAGTATTAATTATTATTAGTATAAACTTACTGATAGACTACTGAATCTAGCATTTACTGAGTTATTGTAAATTAAGTTTCTTAAGTTTACAGAATCATAAGTAAAGTCCTGTAGTATCATCCTACCATCTAGAAACATTAATTATTATTAATTATTATTATTATCATTATCATCATTATTATTATTATTATCATCATTATTATTATCATCATTCAGGGCCGTAGCCAGGAACTTGAAACAGGAGGTTTGGAAATTGCTGCGCGCGAAGCGAGCAGCAAAAAATTTTTAACAAAAATGGGCGTGGTCGGTAGGCGTAGTCTTGAGTTACGCATCTCAGCCATGTGCTGACTCAGCTAAAATGGCTATCTGTGCTTTTCGCTGCTGCCAAAATGCTAATCCTGCTTTTGCAGTACTGTTCTTCATGACAGGAGCTAATCTAAAACTTTTTTGCAGCTACAACAGGGGGTTCGTCCGAACCCCCCGAACCCCCCCTGGCTACGGGCCTGTCATTATTAATATTATATTCAGTATTAAATGACTCACTGTCAGTGGCATTAAGGGCAAGAGCGATAGTCCAGAAAGCATCGACAAAATGAGGAATGAATTGTATGGTTCCATTGATGTCTTTCTCAGGTACATAACTGTATTCAGTTTTAGCCCTCTCCTGATACAAGTTAACAAACTGATTGTATGACTAGAAACAACAATGATAATCATAATCATAATGATAGCAGCTACAATACATCATCATTAATAGTTGTTGAGTACTAATTGTAAGAATTAAAAATAAAGAGCCACTTACCAATCCTATGTCAGTAACATTGTTCCTCATTTTTTTTTTCAATGACAGCAAATTGATCAATAGATATGGCTCCTTCAACAATACTAGCTCTCTCACTAATGGAGCAGTTGAATGGATTGTACGGAGGGATTTCATTTGGTTCTGGTTCCTTAGTCCACCACATTGGCCCATACTAATGATAGAATATCCACACATAACCATTGGACCGAGTCATACCTAAACTTAACGCCTAAAACAAACATAAACAAACAAAGAAATTAATTAATTAATTAATTAATTAATAATAACAAAGAGATGAATACCATAGACCAATAATTCATGCCATAGATTTTCCAAAAAATGGCTCCGAAATCACCCCAAATTTTTATCACATTTTCTGATACATATTGATGTCCTTATGCTGTGTAAAGAGTTTGAGCTAATTCTGACTTCAATTTTTAAAGTTATGGCCATTTTAAGAAAATGTCAAAATTCTAAAAAATACTCAAGGCTATAGCCCATGGCTTTTCCAAAAAATGGCTCAAGAATCACCCTAAATTTTATTACATTTTTTGATACACATTGATGTACCTGACAGATTATTTCAATAGCTTTTGCTGGATACATGTTGACAAATATTATCCTGAATGGTGAATCCTACAAAATAATGAATTAATAAATATTGTATAAGTGGAAAAAAGATAGGAATGAATCTAAGTTTAGATAACGATCAAAACAGGAATTTAAAATATTTTACACATTAATATCATTAATTATGACTATAGCTCAAAATTTTCATCGGTCGAAATTTTTGTCAAATTTGTCAGGTACTTTTGCTTGAAGAAATTTTTAACTGACAAACAAATTTTTGTTCCACATGAGTATGCATGCGGATTAATAACAAAAATGACAAAAATTTTATTGACGAAAATTAATTTTAACAAGAAATTAAGATTTTGACGAAATTTTTGACTGACAAAAATTTGGAACTATACGGTACTCAGGTATTTACAAAATTAATTTATAGACATGATAATCAATATTAATTTTGAATTATCTTAAATATGCTAATTTCAAAGTATATTATTAGCATATTATTAGCATATTATTCTTACATAAAGACTATTGACAGTAGCCCTTGGATTCTTAAATTCTCCAAATGCGAAGTTCCTAGCTTCTTCAAAATTATTATCTAGTACAGCCTGACTGAGTTCAGAATAAACCTATGAAATATAAGAGATCATTAATTGCATATGTAGGCTGTATATGAGACTATGAGTCAGTATAATATGAGAATAAGTGAAGGAAAGAGGGGACTCAGGGGAGAGAGAGAGGGGTACATGTACGTACTGCTTGGAATAAATCTTGATTTGATGTAATGGCAGCTACTCTAGTCCAACCATATTTCTTCATAAGTGCAATGATACCCTCCACTGCAGCTGTGTCTAATGAAATACTCCTTAAAAAGGTTGGGAATACAGCAGTATTGGATAATGAGGGACTAGTAGCACCTGCTGATATCTATATCAGTGAAATATTAATGAGATATTAATGAGATATGATGCAATGAGAACAAGAGACATGAAGATGATGAACATATTTAAAATATAACAACACCTCAACATGTTATTAGACCACACACACATAATAGGTACATGTACACATACATGTATACAGTAGGTAATACAAGAACATTACAGATAATGTATTTAGGTATTATAGGTATTTTAGGTATTAGGTATCAATACCTAAAGACCCTAGGTCTTTAGGTATTATGTACTCTTGGTCTTACAGACTTACTAGTACAAGGTTCCAAAAGTGAGCTAGTTCAGCTACTGGTGATGTAGATGATGAACATATAGGACCAACCATAGCTATCTTCACTGGCTCTTTGAATATAACATCAATAAAACTCCTCACACCAGAACCAGCAGCACACTAAAAGGAATGAACAAGACATCATCATCATCATCATTATTATTATTATTCATTTCGTAGTTATTGTTATTATTTTCATAGTTATTTAATGGCACTTTGTGTGTCTTAAAGTAAATTCTTCAGTAAATTCAATCACAGAGATGTTCAGAAATATTAAAAAATTTTACTAAAATAGCAAAACAATCACATATAGATCTAGGACTACAAAGAAATATTCTCTTACAATAACACATCTATATAATTACTAAAATATATTGCAGATTATAGAGCTAAGCAAATTATGCTTCAATTTTTGCCTATTATGCTTTAGGTACTGCCCCAAATGCCATCCTATTATGCTTTGAAATGAATCCAATTATGCTCATTATTATGCTCATATTTTCAGTTTTACTCAAATATCAACTATTAAGTTACATGTACATGCATGATGCATCCAGCTGTTACAATTGTAATAAATATAATATTGTAATAATACTAGAATCTGAAAATAGAATAGTCTAAGTCATTTGATTTGCTATGCTTGCGTAGGCGGGTACTAAGCAGTTGGGTTGTTGTATTAGTACTTTAAAACCAGGCCGCCATTTTAAATTGAAATCATGTGGTCAGGGGTATTGGGCCAAAAATTTTTGATGCATTATGCTCCAATTATGCTAGAGCATAATAACTTGCCCTATCATGCTCTAGCGGCATAATTTGCCTAGCCCTACTACAGGCTAGACAGTACAGACTAATCATGATGGAATACCAAGTGCCTATGACTGATCTGAAGTTAAAAACATGTAACATGAAGAGTGTAAGAGCACTAAAAGTCTACAACCTAGCACAAACTATTAATGAGAGGTTGAGGTGAGATAGGGAGTGACTGCTAACTGTTGCCTGACATTGGATATATATTAAGCAATAAAAAAGGTGTTTTAGACTTTAAGTACATACATTTGCATGATACATCAACTTAATCATAATAATTATAGGAATTTAAATATAAAAGTCATGCTGCAAACAGCAGCATATGACAACAGATATATAGTTAGTACATGCGGCATGGCCCAGTACATGTACTTACTGCAGAATCATTAACAACAGCTTTGAGAGTATAGCCAGGAAGAAGGTCTGTCTTATTATTGATCAGTTCTAGAGATATGTCCATTGCAGGAAGATAAGCATCTCCATTAAGATGAACAAATGACAGTGGGAGCATTACAGAGAGAGTCAATGGAATAGAGGCATTAGAAGCAGTAGCAACAGCAGAAGATGTAGCAAAAAGAAGAACAAAAATAAAAGGAGACATTTTATGAGCGAGTGCCCCCTTTAAGATAATGCTATAACTTGTGAGCATTTTGTATTTATTGGGGCGAACTATGACTATAAGTTAAATAATCCATAGAAACCAAAATTTTAATTTTTCATTGATGTGGGTGTGGTTGCAATGCAAAAATGGCGACTACGAAGGCTATGAAACGGGAGAAAGTCTTGAGCTACTTACAGCAAGATAAGACTCATTTGTTATCCAGACAATTTTCAAAGCAGCAAGAAAGTTAAGGACGCAGCTATATAATCTTCTTGAATCTCAGAATAAAAGCTGAAATCCCCGGCATTGACTTAGTCATTAGTCAAAAAGAAGATTGCCTAAATATTATATTATAAATATTAAATTATACTCTATTATCTATGGTTCCAACTATCTTTCTTGCTATAAGCAATTAATAACTGCAGAGCACATAGCATTTTGTTGCCATGTTCTATCATCACTAAGCCTTGAGCTCATTGAGTTTTTCCAAGACACTGGTGTCCTCTTCTTAACTTACAATAAATATTTGTTTTATAAGAATATTTCTACACTAATAAAGTACATGTACATGTATGTTCTTCATTTCAGTGAATCACTCCTTCAATTTTTAATATCATGAATACTTATTATCATTACAAAAATGAATTAAAGTTGCAACGTTTGTTGAGGCATTGGATCTTCTGAATAGAGTGTTGGCAGCATAGTAACTGGTAAGCACCAATCAATAGTATCAACGTTCTGTGATGAGGGACCCGACCATAATTCAGCAACTCCACCACCTGGTCCAAGAGACTGCTGTACAGTATGAGTGTTTGTCCATAATCCTCTTGAAATTAATAAATGAAACTGTATTTCCCAGTGGAGCTTAACTAAAATAAAAAGACAATTACAAAGTATACAAGCATAGAAGTAAAAAGTATGGCAGATGGTTTTATGCTGTTAGTTGGAAATTTACATTGCATTGTGTTGACAGTTGACACCTAAGCATTAATTATTAAATTAAACATAGCATACATGTAATAATAAAAGGCATTAATATTTTTTATAGTGCCAGTGCAATGATACTTTACTTTACTACATACAAATGTCAGCCAAAAATAATAGTGTGCTTCAGAATACAAACAAAATCTAAGACATTGGGATACTACTGACCTGTACTATCAGAGAAGGACTGTGCCAAAGTTGGTGGCACAGGTAGTGAGTAATGCGTTATCAAACTGTTAGTGCATGATTTAGTTTGTTGGGCCACTTGAGTAACAACTGGCTTTAGAGTCACTGATGGTAGTACACATTCCTTATTGATAGTTTCAATATACACTAATGAAGCAGTGACTTGAAGGACAGGATGAACAGAGAGGGAGCAATCAAAGATGGCCGTCACTTCATCACCTAAACGATAAGATGTTCTGGGCACAACAACACGTCCAATGCATTCTCCAGAAGCAGTTAATGTGAAACTAGCTATATAAAACAAAAAATATCACCAATAAGTTAACCATTCATTCGTGTATTATAAATGTATAAAATACTGCAACTACTGTTTATATTATTAATATTGTTTATTTTTTGTTCTGTTTCATTTTCTCTCTCTCTTTCCATTTTCACCTCATCACTGTTATTATTTGTTATTGTTGGATATCCTGGATTACCATACACAGGGTTTCCCACAGGATCTTGGTATTTTGCTCATGTAACTTTTTGTCAGCGGATTGTCAAGTTGTTTAAAAATTGGGCTAAAAGACCCTGTACAGAATATTTCAACAAAAATTACAAGGAGAGAATTCTCCATTTTTATAATTTTTTCTAATGCACACACAACTCCTTATGCTGCATATCAACTTTGAGCTGATTCCAATCAAGGTTGAATTTTTTTTATAAATTTTAATAGTAGCTCAAAAATCAGGCCAGCAACCAAAGGCTCTAGCAACCAAAGGCTCTAGCCTTTGGTTTTACCACAATTTTGTCAAAAATGGCAATGAGAGAATTCTCCATTTGTATAATTTTTTTCTGATACATATACATATTCTTATGCTGTGTATTAACTTTGAGCAGATTCTGATCAAATTTGGATTTTTTATGAATTTCTAAGTTACTCCAAATGCCATGTACTGTATGGTAGTGCTTGTCAGCTCATGAAGAATTTTAGCTCACATAGCACTCTTTGTGGGAAACCCTGACCATACAGTTGGAAATAATAAAGACTTTGCAATTGCTGGAATCTATTTATTTGTGTTAAACAGCATACATGTACATGTACATGTAAATTGGTGGATGTTCACTGTAACCACCAATCCACTAATATTAAGTATTTCCAAGCTTCCAGCTGTATGGTATTATTATTACCAATTATCATTACATTGTATAATGTCTTAAGGTCCTACGGTCCTACCTGTACTTCGTTTGCAAGATTCCAAGGCAATAGCTTCCAGTCCTAACTCACTAGCTGACTCACACTCTTCACTAACAAGAAAAGGATTACTAATCTGAGGTGATGCTAGTAATGGACGTCTAAGGTGATCTATATAAATAAGAAATGAACCCAGCAGAGCTCATAGCTAGACAACTAACCTGGTATCTGTATAACTCTAATTGGTAATCTTGTTATTTGTGCTGGACAGTTAGGCTTCTGAACACCAACAGCCAATTTGTACACATAACGTACAATATGACCATGAAATGAAGGTGGCCCACCTAATGGTATTATTTCTGTATAGGAGACTGACAAGAGAAAGAAAAAAGAAATAAAGAGAGTAATAAAATGTTACTATAAAGTAAAGCAACAATTTCCGGACCCATCCAAAAGTAATTATTCAATTTTTCATATATTTTGTCGATGTATTAGTTACCATTTTCTCTGTAAAGAACATGGCCTGTCAAAAGTTAGTTTAAGGACAAGCTTAAAGTTATCATAGTGATTTTCTGCAAATAAAAATTGTTTGCATTTTTGCAAATGGCTTTAAAATAGGAAAAATTAGTACTTGCTTTTATTAATAATCTAGATTTATTAATAGGCAAATTGCAAAAAATTAGTACAAGCTAAATGAACACCATTATGAAATTGCAAATTTTGTCTACTTACAAAGCATAGTTTTCATTAAAAATTCACTCTACTATCTATAATATAATCATACCTGTTTTAGTTTCTGAGGGATTAATGGTGACGTTACACAGCAACACAGTTGAGCGTGTTGATAATATCGAGCTACCACGTTCACCTATGGCATCACTAAAAATTAGACATAATTCTGAGAGACTTGCCTCTGTTAGGAAAAAAAGCAGTTTCTGTAATAGGTGACGATAATTGTTCACTGGCTTTCAACTTCAATACGGATTCTCTCACTAGACGTTGACAATGAATCTGCGCACCAACCCAGGCTATAGTCTGAGGACTGGTGTCTTTATTACTGAATATAAGTTGACACTGGAGAGTGTCACCAGCAACAAATGCTCCATTGCTATCAACTCTAACTGTAACTTCAGCCATTTACTTGCGAATCGAGCGAATACTGTCACACAGCGCCATTTAAGAATAGGCGTGGTTACAAAATTGGGTTGTCACGTGACTTGCGAGCCCCATCACGTGAGCTAGCCTAGGTGCCTTGGTTCGCTTATCATTGTTGAGAGAGCCTTCGCCTTCATATTCCGTTTTGAGACAGCTCTAAATTGTACACACCATGTCGACCACTCCGCCAGAGAATAAACTCCAGTCTGCTAGACAGAGGATCTCTGATATGCTGCACGATCCGGAGAATCCGCTCGCCGGCATATTCGAGAAAGCCGAAAAGACCCTCAGATTGAAGAGAGAATGGCTCTTTTTTGGTCTGTGAATAGTTACTTACCAATGATTTTTGTTTCCTCTGAACAGGTTTTGTAGTACTAATTATTCTCTACCTGATAATTGGGCATGGCACAGGGCTATTGGTGAACCTAATTGGATTTGTCTACCCAGCTTACAAATCGTGAGTGTTTGTGATAAATAAAGAGTGCATGCACTCAATCGTCAGAAGTGATTAATTTCATTTGATGTTTGTTCACAAATAATTATTGACCTTTGCCATGGCATCCTGTGCTTGTGTTGATTGATATCATCACTGTTATTAGTAGATGTAGTGTTTGCTGTCTGACAGGTGTTTGATTTACAAGTGTCACCTCTCCTCCTTCCACCTCTCTCTCTCCCATTAGATGTAAAGCTATTGATTCAGAAGAGACAGATGATGACACTCAGTGGTTAACCTATTGGGTTGTGTATGCTTTCTTTGGTCTTATTGAATTTTTCACAGACATCCTCTTGTCCTGGATACCATTTTATTTCCTTGGAAAGGTCAGTGTTTCAATTAGAGGTGTCATAAGGTTACTAGTAGAGAGTGCCAATGCTGCTTTGTCGATGGTTCCAATTGAATTCAAACACTATGAGTCATTTCCCCAATTAAACGATAGGTTATTGCTTGCCTGTGATTACATGACATCATACTTGGCTCAAGCCATTCATGTAATGTAACATATTGTCAACTACCGTAGCTAGTTGGACTGTACAGAAATGTGTTTGTTTCAGTGGCCAATGTAGTACAGCAATAGTGAGTAGCAGGAACAAAATTACATGTAGAACAGCATATTGTATTTAATTTTTTAAATTGGTACCAAGATTAGTTCAAACTCTTATCAATTTTGTTTGTGTTGCATGTACTAAAAGGTGAACAGGAAATGAAAAAGCATAATAAAGTTGATGTTTGTTGTTGTACTCTCAATAAATGGTGCTAGTTTATAACTATGACTCAGAGAGGCTTATTAGCACTGGTTTGTACAATTTCCTAAATTAATTTTTTTGTTTTTTTGGTCAACAGTGTGTTTTTCTGATATGGTGCATGATGCCAATGGCTAACAACGGCTCTGCTGTTATTTATCATAACTTCATCAAACCATTTATCAAGAGACATGAAAAGACTTTTGAGAAAGCCATTGATATGACTAGCAAGCTAGCAAAAGAAGGTGCCAAAGATGGTAAGATTATGTATCTGAGCTAACAATTTTGAGATTCTCTTTTCAAAAGCTTTTGGAGCTCTCAAAGATGCTGCTGGCAATATCAGTGTGGGCGATATTCAACGTCTCCAAGAGAAAACATCACAATTACACCAACAGTTTGGAGGTGGTGATGATGAAGAAGATAAGAAGGAGCAATAGTTTGTTGTGACGGAAGCAATGAAATTAATTCAAATTGTAGTGACAAACAAATTAATCAATAATAACAATAATGTAGCAATTGAATCTATTTTAACAAGTTTGGTTGTGGCATTTACCTATTTTGATAATACATTCTTAGGATAACACAACATTGTGTCTTATGAATCATGATGACAACACTGCCTCTTCTACTAACTTATTGACGAGGGTTGGCCAGAGTTTATCAAACCGATCTTTCCTATGAACTTGCTTTAGTACTTCTTGCTGGACTTGCCTTGCTATAGTTCTAGCCTTTTCCTTAGTTTCAGCATTTTCTGGCTAATTTCAGCAGATTACAATACAAAGAAATATAGAATACCTACATACCTCATACATAGTGTACTCAGATGCATTAAGTAGTTGACCATAAGGAGCAAACAAATGTCCTTGACAATCTTTGATTCCATTAATAGACACACGAGGAAGGAGGAATCCAAGCCATTGTACGTAAAGAGGATGATCAGTGACTGGGTTACCGTCATTAGTGATAGTTAATGAACTAAGTGATGAAGGAAGGCAGCTATACAGCGACCTCAAGTCTAACAAAGTCGACAAATTCAAACAATGGCACTCCAGATGCTAGAGAAACAAACTAAGTCGTATTTATTAATAACAATAATCTGTACCTGTAGGACTGGTAAACTCTCTTTAATGAGTGAAAAACTCTCCGTTTCTTCTTTAAAAGTCATGTAATGCAGTGCCAATTGAGTGACTGATGGCAGTCGATTAGACTTGAAAATCTTGAGTGATTTACCGCCATATAAAACAAGTGAGTTCTTTTCATTATCAATATAACTATACAACAGACAATGCCAACATTAACAGATAATTGTGTTAATACACGTACCTGCTGGAACAACCTGATCTAGGATCAGTTTGCTTAGCTTCCCATTCTGACTTGACAGTTGCAATAAGTGACTCACGTTGTTCCTAACAAAGTAAATGTTGCACATTAAAAATAATAGTACACTAGACCAACCATTAATTTCAATTGCTTATGAAGCTCATTTAGCTTAATCTCTTCCTGTCTAGCAGCTAATAGAGACTGCTTCCTCTCTTCTTCCTAAAGGAATAAGTAAGTACTAGATGGAGAAAGAGAGAACTCACAGAAACTGGAGATTGGTTGAGTGTGACAAGATTAGTAAGATAAGATATTATAAGGTTTCTGTGATCAGGATTATTAGCCAAAGGATTACCATCAATTGATAAATCATTCAGTGATGTACAGAAAGTAGTACTAGATATGTCATCAAAACTAAACAATTGAAAGATCAACAATAATTGTTACATCATTAACTGTACAGTGAGCATCAATGCATGTGAAGTATAATGCTGAGAAAAATGGATCTGTTGACTGTAAAATAATCATGAACATGTACCTTTCAATAAGATTATGACTAAGAAAGAGGCGCTGTAGGAGAGGTAGACTACCACAATCAAACTAGGAATTAAAAGTTTAATAATACCTGGGGTCAATCACAAAAGCTCAATTAAAATTACACAATCAATTACACTCCTTTTGTAAAAATAGACCCAATTACAATTACAATTTTAATTAGTTTCAATTCCAATTCCAATTTGATGTACATGTATTGTAGCAACATACTATCCCAGTGGTTACAGTGCCTTAAAATTTATATCAGGTAGTTACATATACTTCAGTACTTTAAAGTTATCTTATTATGTTATATACATAGACTAGAGTGCATTAAAAATATTTCTGCACATTCTGTAGTTAGCTAACTCAATTATAATTGAAATTAAAATTACAATTACATGATTGTAATTGACCCCAGGTCTAACTAGTAACACTTACGTGAGTAATTCTATTTCTACGCAAGTTTAATTCAGCTAATGAAGACAATCCAGAGAGATCCTCAACAACTGTTATATTATTGCCAGCTAAATTGAGAACTCTTAAGTGACTCAAGTGTCCTATATTATCTATATACCTCAGCTTGAATGATTATTATGATTACAAACACTAATAGCTAATAAAAATATTACCAAGTTTCCATGAAGATCCAACACATCAAGCTTTGTAAGTCCATCTAAACCAGTTATTTGAGAGATTCTATGACAAAAGAGTGAAAAGACATATTTGACCAATATTATATTATGCACCTGTTTCTTCCAAGCATTAATACACGAAGAGAATGAAGTGATTCTAGTCCATTAATATCTTCAATTTTATTGTCGTAAAGGTCAAGAAATACCAGTCGTCTTAAAGGGGTAAGGTGCTGAATCCGTGTTATGCAGTTGTGCTGGAGGTTAAGGAGTCGAAGATGTTCTTCACCCTAAAACAGATGCACTTTGTCATTATGACAACTACTACTACATTACATCATTGAAATTGTAATAAGAGCAATATTAGATAAAGTGGCGTAGCAACTGCAATGGAATGAGAACTAACACACACAGCAGCTAATTTTACAATAATACTACAACATGTACATGTACATCAAAAGAGTAACAATATTATTTGGCAATAAAGTATTGAAAAGCTTATTACAGCATCAATGTTTAAGATGAATTAACCATGAAATACAATCTAAACATGAATAGACCTTAAAATTTCGTGACTATTCCCTACATTATTTTGTCAAGTGATCAGCTTCCTATCAACTCACGAGGCTGTTGTTTAGCTGGGTTTTGTAGAAAATCAATGGACTACATTACATGCTCTCACATCGTGCTTAATCAAAATTGATTATTATTTAAGTTGCTCCAAAGTTTTACAAAATAAACTGTACTACTGGTACAGTTAGGGTTTCTCATAGGCAATGCTAAGTGAGCTAAACAGCACACTTAAGACAAATTCAATTTTTATTGGAGTAGGCTAAAACTTGCTACACAACACAAGAATATGTACATGTAATAGAAAAATATAAAAACGGAGAATTTTCTCCTAGTCATTCTTGGTAAAATTTGGCTAAAGACTCTGTACAAGAAGTACAGGAACTAGGGACTTGCCCCAATTTTGAGTAAATTAAAAATTGGTAAAAAACCAATTTTAGTTGGAATTACCTCAAACATGCTCAAAATATCACTATGTATCAAAAGAAAATTCAAAATTGTAAAATTCTCTACTATCAATTTTTGAAAAATACCCTGGATATGTATTTTGTAAAATTTTGAGCAACTTTAAAATCAACATCATCATTTAAGGGAAAACCTGGGTACAGTATTTTCTAGAAATGGCTGATCTACATGTACTGTGATCTTTTTTTCTGATACATATACTTGCTCTTGTGTTATGCAGAAAATTTTTCAAATTAAAATTAGATTTTTAAAAAGTTACAACAAAAGCCATGTGCTACTCTAGTACTTGTCAGCTCATGAAATCTAGTGTTAAATGCCACAAAACTTACTTCTAATATTGGGCAAGTAAAAAGGTTTCTGCGGTCAAGATTCAATCTATCAGGATTAATCATTCTCTCTTCAGGTGGCCTGTACACTACAGGTACTCCTGGTGACGTTACACTCTCAGCAAATATCACATTATCCTTTGGTATTCCTCTCACTGGACCACCACCACTGCCACCTCCTTGTGCTACATCAATTCCTCCTCCTCCTAATGGATCTGTAGCTGCTCTTAGGAGACGAGGGACACGGCCACGCCCTTCACGTTCACTTGGAGGATGAGAAAACTCTAAATATAAAAATACAAAAAAATAACTAGTAACGATCATGATTATGTTAGTTAAAAAGACTGCTACATGTATGTAGCCTTTGATTGGTTGGAGTAAATCCCTAATTATAAACAATACACACACAATGATCTGCATAATGCACTTGAGATTATTCAACAAACACTTTTGCCAAAAAAACAAATGCTAACACTGGCTCACCAAACGTGGTAATAAAATGTATTGATGAAACTTATGTGCATTGTTACATCAAAAGCCATAACTTTTGCTTTTATCAATATCACACCAAGTAATTTCACATTCAATTTCAAAGCCACACCTAAATATCTTGGACTACATCTAAAAGCAAGAGTAAAAAAAGCATCTACTCTTGCTAATAGCCATAGCAATGCCTTCAAATCGATGTCTG